CTCTATTGATACAGGGTGCATCCACAGGATTCCCAGCATCAACAGGATGTCTCCTGAATGGGCAGCTGCAGGTTTCTGAGGCTGTGATAACCTGTTCTAAAACTTATCCTGTATGAAGTCACATCTCTGCCAGACAGCATCAGGAAAGGGGAAAGAGCTTTTACCGCCAGTGTTATTTTCACTGTGACAACCCTGGTTCTGTCCACTTGAGATGTCTGTGTAACACAAGCATGTGGTACAGAACGTGAGCGTGTCGGCAGAAGGGGAAGAAGAGGAAGAAAAAGCACCAGATAGAGAAGAATGTGATTTATGTAATAAACTATTTATGTAAACCCAATTTGTGAGACAAATTGATGAGGATCCCCTTTGTTTACTTGCCTGTCCCCTCCTTCCTCAGGGTCCACTCCAGTCTCTGCCTTGTTCTACCTCCCAGAGTCTGGAAAAAAATCCAGTGTCGGAAAAAAATCTTTCTTTCGTTTGCTCCTAAGAAAGGCTCTACAACAAACATATTGGCTTGTTTACTCTTTGAGACACAACACAACCTGAAGACCAGAACTGCCCAGACATTGTGAGAAAATGTTCTTTTGAGTATTTAAACTCAGCAGTGTCTGAGCAGAATTATTTTATCATGTAAAGAGGAGTTAATGGATATTTGCAATATAGCCAACTACAAGCAGACATCATGGTGTAATTTTGAGAAATGGACATAAGTTGCTACAAACAAAGCTTTATTTTTAGCATTTTGTTTATGTAGTATAGGAGAAGAAACATGTAACATGACTGTGAGTTCAATCTGAAACAGAAGGTCTGTGACGCATGTCAAAAACCTCCAGGAATTAATTTTAAAAAGTAACTCACTACACCTACATTCCCTGCTCAACTGGAAATAACACATGGAGTTTGGGGAGGGGTTATAATACAGAACTGGTTTCTAATGATTTGGTGTAACATCATTGACTGCTGAGTGTAATCAATGACACAAAATATTTCAAAATATTTTCAGTTCTCCCTTAAGCATTTGGAATGTACCCTTCTGTATTTATGTGCTTTTTTTCTGTTATTTCAATTATAAGATATTTTACTGTTGTTTGAGTAAACATGAACAACTGAAACTTGTTAGCTGAAATATATGAAGTAAATAGATGTAGTTTCCTTTTCTCTTAACCTCATTCATTCATATAGTGAACAAGAGTAAGATGCAATTAATATGTGAATCTTTTCTCACTAATACAAGTTTGCACCCTTGGATATAACATTTACTTCATGGGAATTAGTTGAAAAATATGCTGATGTCCCCGATCATCTTTAGTATGTGCCAAAAATGTCACTTAAACACACTGAATCAGACTCCAAATGTGCTGCTCATTTTGCCTGAGCTGAGACTTTGTCCTCAGGCAAACACTTTGTTAAATGTCCTCTTGAATGTGTTCTGCATTCTTAGTCTCCTAACATTAAATTTTATGAATGAATAACAAAGTAATTAAAAAAGAATTAGCTCATGGAACGAACCAGAGCAAACACCTCCTGCTTGTGTCATAACCATCATCCCCTCAGTCAGTCCATTCTACTCACTCTGTACCAGGGTGTCTGTAGCTCATTGATGACTCACTGAAAACAAGCTGCAGCCCTTCAAAAAGCTCTGTGCAGGAGCACCAGGCGTTGTGTGCAGTGCAGCAGGTACATCAGGTAGGTACCATATGGGAAACGGCTTTTGGACCTTGCTGGGGGGTCGCTGTGGGGGCTTTGGGGGCTATCTGGTAGGACCAACCTCAGGTTGCTGCATCAAGCCCAGTTTCATTCTCCTAGAGAGCCGGAATGTCAGCGGGCAGGAACACGGGGGATGGAGTCAGGAGGTTGTTCAGGCAGGTGAGAGCATTTTGCCTTACGGGGGGCTGAGCCTTCAGGTCAGGGATGTTTCTCGACAGCTGCCCTGTGTCAATACCGTCCCGCTTCTCACTGTCAAGTCTGTAACCACACAGTCTTGATCCAACACCACAAACCAGCTGCAGAGTCGTGGTCCAGGGGGCACTGTTTGAGTTTTCAGCTCTTTGGTGCTGATTCTCTAAATGCCCTCTGCAAACGGACCTGTGACCGGAGGGTACGACGTGCCCTGCACCTCTGCAAGGGCTGCACGCCGGGGAGGACACACACTAGAACTGGGGCTCTGCAGTTCTGCTCTTGAATTCTATGAGCTCAGACCCCTGGATGAGGCACTCGAGCAAGGGTTATCAATAACTTCCTAAACTATGCTGAGAAAGATACCTGCGGCTCTGTTTTCAGCAGTGCTATAAAATGTGAGAAGCCTTGTTAAATCGCGTTTAATGACTGGGAATCTCAGCCTAACTGATTCCTTCATCCAGCAGCTGTGAGTAATAATACTCACATGAGCAGGTTTCACTGGCAGGACGCTAACAGACCTGCAGTAGGAATATCACGTTCTCCGAAGCTCTGAGCAGCTCCAGTTGGAGCCGAATTATTTCCCCCTGGGGAGAGGGGGAACTGTTTGGAGCTCCCGGAGTGCAGAGAGGGGTTGAATTGTCTGTTCAGCCCTGTCGTGCTCCACCTGAGCTAACAGTTCGGCTGCTAGTTGCACTTACTCAAACCTGGCAGGCAAAGGGATAGCTGTGCAGTGTGAGAGAGTCTCCTGAGTATCTGTTTCCCAGTTTAGCTGGATTTCTCCTACCAGCAAGAGATGTGCAGAGCACACTACTTGTAAGGTTTCCCCTGAAATTTTACTTCAGAACATCTTTTATCGTAAAAGTTCTTATTTTCGCAAATGCAAATGAGTCTAGTCCGAGACTTCTGGCGCTTGTACGCTTCTTCTCGAGGGGAAGCGAGTACCCGGAGCATCCCGCATCCTCCCCGNTCGCAAATGCAAATGAGTCTAGTCCGAGACTTCTGGCGCTTGTACGCTTCTTCTCGAGGGGAAGCGAGTACCCGGAGCATCCCGCATCCTCCCCGCGGCTCCCGCAGGCTGACGGACCCCGCACCCATCGCGCCGTGGAAACCACCGACCCTGCGGGGATCTGCACCGTGGAGCCGGCTCTACTCCCCCCTTGCCTCTAATATCAGCAATCGCGACAGAATTTATTTCCACGGGAGGGCTGAAACGTTTAATTTCATTCTGGACCAGGTGTGCGGGAGCGGGATGAGGCTGCGGAGCGTGCGGATTAACGCGATCCCAGACGGGGCCAGGCTGAGGGGTCGAGGGGGGACCAGGGGGAAGGAGCCGAGGGAGGAGCGAAGCCCGCACACCCCGGAAACCCGCGGCACCACGCACACCCCTCCCGCCGGGCAGCGACGCCGTGGCGCCTGCCAAGCCGGTCCCCAGGGGAGGGGGATGCGCAGCGCTCCCCAGAGTCGCTCCGGAAAAGGCTTGTTCCTTAAAACTTCCCCGAGGGAAAAAAAAAAGAAGAAGAAGAAAAAGAAAAAAAAGCCCCCCAAAAAACCACAAACACCAAAAACTAGTGGAAAATGAGAACTCTTCCCCGGCGTGTGCTTTGGGGTCACGCACGGAGTTGGCAAACAAGGTAACAGCGTCCCTGGGCCAACGGGAGCCACCTCGAGGTGCTCACAGCTGTTATAGACTTTTTCTTTGAAATTAAAATAAAAAAAAGAGTAAGGATTATAAAAGTCCGACTTCGATACGAGTTTAAAAGTAATCAGCGGAAAGGCGATGGAAAGACTACTTTATTTTTAAAAGTGGTGGAATTTGAAAGAGCCGACTTACTAAATTTACATATATCCAAAATATTGGACTCCTCGTCAGTGGAAACAAGGCAGAGGTGTCGGATTCTCTCTCTATATAAATTTTCTTTTTTTTTTTTATTCTTAATATTGCACAAATCGGCAAAGCCAATTAAGAAATTACAAACAAGGGAACTAAGAAGGGAAATACCCTCTCTCATACAAGAAGAATAAAGTTTTTTTGCGTATAAGAAATACGGTCTCAGAGTAAACAACAAAAAAAGGAAGATGCAAGACATCCCTCTAAGCGTCTCATGAGCCAGGCGTTTTCCTCAGGAAACTTGTCTTACAAAGATTCAGCCGAAAAACAGGGACTCGCCAGCACGGAAAGCGCCGTTTCCTTAGAGTTTATTGATTGATTTAAAGTGTTTAGCAAACAAAGTGCTTTCTTTATCACCTCTTGCTCATTACTCCCTCACCTTATACATTAATTACAAAGTTAAAACTTTTTTTTTTTTTTTTGTAACAACCAGAAATATACAGAAATGGTTAACGTAAAAAAACCAGCCCTGCGCCCCAGCAGCTGCCCCCGCCGCCCCTTCCCAGGCGAGATTCCCTCGCCCCCGCGGGTCCGCAGGGTCTCAGCCGAGCTCGGGGGTTGTTCGAGAGTGACGTCTGTAAAAAATATCCTTCGTCACCGTGAGGTCACGGGAGGGAGCGGAGCGTCGTTGCCTCGGCAATGTCGAGGGACAGGACCGATAAGTTCTCTGCTTTACCCTGAGAGTCAAATGGGTACATAATATTTTCTTTTTTTAAAGTCTTTTGAGTGTGGCCAGACCAGAATAAAAACAAAGTCAAATAATAATAATAATAATAATAATAATAATAATAATAATAATAAAATTAATCAAACCCACATAGCAACGAGGGACGGTGAAAAAATAAAAATACAGGTAACAATGATTTACATCTACTTGTATGTACACGGGGGAGGAAGGTTTTCCTCCTCCTCCTCCCTTCAGCAGCGCAGTCCGGACACATCGCGTAGAAAAAGGGCCGTAGAAAGGACGGAGGGCGGGGGGGCCGCCCCTTTGCACCCCCGGGGTCGGTGGCAGCCGGGGGGCAGTGGGAACACCTGGCTGTCCCTTCTCTTCCACCCCCCCCGGTGTCGCTGCCAGTCGGTTCTTGGTTTCACCTCTCGGGAGCGGGGGGTCGTGCGGTGAGCGGCTCCCCCGGAGCCCGGCCGGATGGTCCCGAAGGGGCACAGCGGGAATGGGTCGGGAATAAGGAGGATGAGGAAGGGGCGTCGGGGCTTATAGGTGCGGGGTGTAGAAAGCCGGGGCGCCGTAAGTCTGGGACCCCAGGACGAAGGGCGAGAGGACGGCGGGGCTGGGCAGGAAGGGCAGCTGTGCGGCGCAGACCAGCCCCCCGGCCGGGTGCCCGGCGTAGCTGCCGGGGCCGTGCATGGAGAGCGGGGCGCCCATGGGCGGCGAGTGGCTGAGCGGGCTGAGCCCCCCCGGCAGCGCCCCCCCGCCCAGCGCGCCCCCCGCCCCGCCGCCGCCGCCCCCGCCCGTGGGCGCGCTGGTGTCCGCCCCGGGGTTCTGCTTCTTCCACTTGGTGCGCCGGTTCTGGAACCAGATCTTCACCTGCGTCTCGGTGAGGCTGAGCGACAGCGCCAGGTTGAGGCGCTCGCACACCGACAGGTACCGCGTGGACTTGAACTTGTTTTCCAGCGCCACCAGCTGCTCGTAGGTGAAGGCTGTCCGCGCCCGACGGGGCTTGCCCGACTTGGAGTCCGAGCCCGTCCTCTTCCTCTTGGGCTTGGCCTGCGGGCCGGGCTGAGCCCCGACGGGCGGCGGCGGCGGGGGCGGCGGTGGGGGCGGCGGGGCTGGGACACCCCCCGGTTCGGCCGGCTCTGCTCGGAGCGGCCCCGGGTCGGGCTCTCCGGGAGCCGCCGGGCCGGAGCTGCCGCCGCTGCTGCTGCTGGTGCTGCCGCTCTCCTCGCTGCACAGCTCCTCGTCGTCCGGCAGCTCGCTGTCGGGGCTGCGGCTCGGCCGGCTGCTGTAGTCCAGGTCGCACTCCTCGGCCTTGTAGAGCTCCCCGTCCTCTGCGGACAAGCGACAGACGCTGTCAGGGATCGCCGCCCGGCCCCCGGCCCCGCCCGGCCTCAGGAGGAACCGGTCTCCCCCCGGGATTCACCCACCCCGTATCCCCGCGGCTGTCGGGAAAAGGATGCCCGGCCCTCCCTGGCTCTCCGCCCGCCGTGGGGATGCGGCTGGTCCGGGCCCCCTGGCTCCTCCGGCCCCCTGTTACGGGAGTGGCCTGGAAGCACATGGAGAGGAGCCGGGGCTGGACTGGGGACACATGGCGAGGAGCCGGGCAGAAGCGGCCAGGACAGTGGTTCGGAGCCGCCTCCGAGGACAGCCTTCACCTACGAGCCTTCTCTGCAGCCCTGGGGCAGAGAAGGGGCTGTCCAGCCCGGCAAGGCTTTCCCAGAGCTGCCCCTTCTCAGCTACCCACTTTCGGCAAGAGCTGGCACCGAGATATGGCCCGGGCCAGGGGATACAACCCCCTTCCCACCGCCACCAACGCGTCCACAAAACAACCGGTGGCTGGAAAAGACTTTGGGAAGACAGCAGGGTGGGTGGGTGTCCCCGGGACGCTGGAAGGGACGAGGAGCAGCCGGGGGCAACCCCCGCCCGGGCCGAGCCAGCCGTGCCTGGGATGTCACAGCGCTTCTAACAATTTTAGTGACGGAAATCTCCGAATCGATGGGAGGTTTGCTGGTTTTTGCTCTGGCATTTTTAACCCTTCCTGCGTCTGGTTTGACCTCTTGTCACTTCCCGAAATGGAAGTATTAAAGTGGAGTAAATACTTGTATTGATTAGCAGAGCAGATACAAACTTAATTAAACTCATTTTGTGCAATGTACAAACTAGTTAACGGTCATTTAATTTATTTGGGTTTATATTACGCTCCAATTAACTGGTCTCCATCGGAGAACAGGGTAATTATCCGATATTTAAAGCTATTGGACTTCTGCTGACGGTTCTGTCATTATGAAGCCTAAAAGCAAATTGCGTTTTCCGGAGAACCGGCTCCTCCTCACCCCGGCCCGGGCTCCTTCGGGGGAGCGGGAGGAGAATCCTCTCCACGGGACGGGGATGGGGGAAGCCCCGCGGGCAGGTCTGGGGCAGAGGCCTGTGAGTACCGTCTTTTTTAGCCGGTGCTTTCAGACACTCCTTAACTTCCCTCCACTCTCAACGGGGGAGCAGCAACGGGAACCCCTAATCAAGGACTCCTTTAACTTGGTTAACGGAGATACATAAATGAGAAATGAATCGCTGGTCTGTCACCTTTATCCTGTCCGTAATTTAGTTGGTTTTAATCCTCAAAAAACCTGAACACACCTCAAATTTCGTCCGTATCCCCACATCGGACCCTCTAAAGCCCATGTGTAAAATTAAGGGTGGTTTTAAAAGTGTATTTTGTTCAGCGCACTGATTTCGGATAGGGATGGTTTAGTAGGAGAAAAAGGGGTAGAGAAGTTTATGGTAGTTCTTTTCACCCGGAAAATATCCCTTAATAACTCGGGGTTCATGAGGAGCCCTTTCCAGCTTTCTGTTCAGGTCGGCGCACGGAATTAGCGGGCGATCGCCGCCGCACAGACGGGAACCGGGTCAGTTTTCTCCCAACCCGACCCCGTGAGTGCAGACGAGTGTCCTGCAACCTGTAGAACCTGTTAGAAATTGCAGGGCGTAATTTTTGCAACAACAATTAATAAAAAGTGCGCGTAGCTACCTCTGCGGAGCAGACCCGGGGGCTGAGCGCAGCCCCAGCACTCACACACGGACCGGACCGGGAACCCGCAGCTGGCAGTTTTGAGGTTTAATTTTCCCTCTAGGAAACCCTTGCCGTAGCTCAACGAAATTTTTTTTAGACAAAAAAAAAAAAATGCAACGCGAATAGAACTGGCGACGGAGACGGACGCTGGATTTGCCGGTTTTTTTTCTGGAATATGTTAAATGGGAATTCACTAGAGACTTTTACCTGATATTTTTGACATTAAAATAGTTTTACGAGCGGCGAGTGACGAGCGCCGTTGCCACTCTTCTTTGGCCAGAAAGCCTTTGCGTTTTCCGGGGGTGTTGATACTTTTCTGGCCAGAGCTACTTTTCGGAACACTTCTCCTACATTAAACCACCACTTGAACTAATATTGATTACGATAGGGAAAGAGAATAATTAAATTTCGTGATTTTCGAGCAGTCCCAGACCTATTCCTGACCGTTGCCATAACATTGAGGCGACGTGGCCGAAGGGCTCCATCGGAGCGTCCGGGGAACTTGTCAGCGGGCAAAGCGCACCGCGGCGTGGAGCCTCCAAGGGTATTTATTTTGAGAGAAGGGATGGAGTTGCATTTCTCTCCTTGTCTGGAGATAAAAGTGTGAGATTAGCGATAGGCTGACCTCGTCAGTCTTTCTGATCGCCCAGATCTATTTAATATGACAAAAGTCAGATGAGTTTAGAGGAATAATTACTAACCCAGCTCCGCACTGCTTTAAAAAATGTCTTTTGAATTCTATTAATGCCCCGTTCCTGCTTTTGCCTTACAGATGAAAAATGCGTCAAGGCTCGGTCTGGAGCAGATTCCAGACCTCTTTTGCTGACTAATTTTAACTGACAGAGTCCTGTTATGGCGGGGTTGGAAACCTCCGAGTCCTCCTCTCCTCCCTTCAGACACAGAGAAATTATTTTTCCTTAACCGAGAAGTTTATCCCCCGCCGCCCACTGCCCCTTCTGTCCCCTCTCAGGACATGGAATAACTATTTCTATTTTTCACAACAACCGTCTTTTGCCGGAAACCCTCTGCGATCCCCAGAGTCTCGGTGTTTAGAGGTGAGAAAGTTGGGATATTTGGACCCAGAAAGAAAAAGCAATCTAGAGCTTGGGTCGAATGCAATTCCCGATCAATAGCGAGCCCTAATAAGTGTAATAGGTTTTAATCGAGTAATTATCCGAATTTTGACCCTATAATTTAGATGTTAGGGAAGAGTTTGCAAGGTGCTTGAAAGAGATATGCACAATTCGATAATAGGATATCGATCCAGGCAGTCCTACATGCCACTCTGGGGCGATTTTCCCCATTATCCAGCCTCTTTACGCTGCTAAGCACATTTTACCTTAAATGTAATCGAAGGAATTTAATTGTTTTTCCAGAGATAACCAGCATTTTGTCACAATTAGTCTGATTTGTCCTAAAAAAGCCAAGGGGAGAGAGAAAATTGAATCTGTCGCCCAGAGCAACGGGCGGCAGCGGCGGGGGGAGGACAGGAGAGGGGTCCAGGGCTGGGAGAGAGAGATACAAAGTCATAAAAGCCTGCGGGGACCCAGGCGAGATGGGGGTACGGAGGGAGGGTTTTCACAGCCTCGAGGCTGAAACTCCGGCCCACCGAAGCCGAAGGAGCAGCTCGCAAGTTCGTCTGAGCCGGAGCTCGCAGCCACCGCTGCCCCTGCCCGAGAGGAGGAGGAGGACGGCGGGGTCCCTGCCCGACCCAGCCGGGCCAGCACCTCCAGGGCTGATCCTGCCTCCCCGGGGGATGAACTGGGCGAATAGACCAGTGTATCCCCGCTGAACTCCTCAGACAGGCGGGGAGTGGAGCCCGGCCGGTGCCGAGCTCCGGGAACCCAGCCCGGCCAGTCCCGGGGTGATGCGCCCGGCTCCCCGCCCTGCCATCCCTCAGCCTAACACAGAATTCCACCTCTCCACATCCAGCAGCAGCAGCAGTGCAGGGCGCATTTGTCCTTCCCCAGCGCCCCGGCTCCCGAGGCTGCCAGCGGGGGAAGGATGACCTGTCAAAGCATGCGAGCCCCTTGCTCGGGGAGCTCGGAGGGGCTCCGAGCCCCCAGACCTACTTACTGATCAGCTCTGCGGATTTCTTGCATGCGTCGAAATCTTCGGCGAGAGCCTTTTGCTCGACCAGCTCCGTCCCTGAGTCCTCGGGCTTATCCTCCGCCCCCAGAGTGAACTCGGTCCCCGCCGATTTGTACAAGCCCGCGCACTGCCGCCGCTTGCTGTTGAACTTGTTAGGGTCCAGGATGTCGAGCACGGAGAAGGAGGTGGTTCTGTGCACCATGGGCAGCGCGGCCACTGCCCCCTCTTGTCCGGGGGTGTTGCTCTGGCTGTCCCCTTGCCTGTCCCGGTTGGCAGGGCAGTAGAGCGGCAGCTCGCCGCCGGCCGAGAGCCGCTGCTCCCCGCGGCCGTCCATCCCTTCCCCGTGGCAGCCGCGGGGCTCCCCGCCGATGCCGACTGCGGGGGCTGTCACCGCCGCGGCTGCCGCTGTCGGGATGGAGATGTCACCGACCTTGTCTCTGCTCACATTCATGACTCTTTGCAGAGCCCCTCTCGGTCGCAACTTCTCCCCCCCCCCTCCCCTCTTGCTCTCCCCCTCCCTCCTTCCTCCGGCGAAGTTGATCTGGAAACTCCTCCCCAGCACCGCTCCGGCTCAGGACGAGCCGCTGCCTTCAGCTCCCCGGGGCTGCGCTGGGTCCAGCCGCCGGGAGCCTCCGGGGGAGGCAGGGAGTCACAAGGTGATGCTCGGCTCAGAGCCTCCACTCAGCAGCTCCTTCTTCCTTCTCATCATCCTCGCCAGGCTGCCCAGGAGCTCCTGCCCCCCCTCCCCTCCTCTCTCGCACACACACAGAGGCAAGGCTGTATCTTATTTATGCATTCATATTTAGCACTGGATTGTAATTGGCTACAAATTAATCCCTTGCCCATAATAGTCTGTAATCTTCATCACTGGAGGAGAGACACGGTGAAAGTGTGTGCCGGGGGGAGGGGGGCAGAGAGGGAGAGAGCGAATGAAGGATGGTGTTGGCTGTGATATACTTGGCTGTCAGCTCTGTTTCAGCACACCTCCACTCATCTGGAAAGCATCTAAATAGCCTTATTTGGAGAAGTGGGAGGAGATGACGCTTTCTTTTAAATAATTGCGGGATCAATATAAAGAAGATATTATACACAGAAAATGGGAACTTAAGGTCTTCCATCCCTAATGGTGGAGTTAGATGATCAAAAGGGGATTATGTGGATGTGTGTGTGTGTGGGCTCAGAGGTGTCAGCCCCCAGCACCTGTTTCCCTTCCCTACTGGGTTTATTAAATTAGAACAAAAGGAGAAAATTATGGACGGAGGTTTAGCGGTTGGAGCGGACCTTGTGTCAGCGGACACACACGCCCTCACACGCTTCTCTCTCTCTCCCTCTTAGCTAATTAATTAAAATTAAATATCAAATGTAAGTGCCAGGAAAGTGCCGGGAGAAAATTAATACGTTTAAACGGCACAAGACAAAACACGACGATCAATAAATCCTGAATAACTGGGAGAAAAGGTCTGTTCCCTTCCATGCAGGAGTAAAGGTATAACCAGACCTAACTTCCACTTTCGAAAAAAATACTCTCTTATTAAAAGTGGTTTTAATTATGGAAAATTAAAATATCCGAATAAAATTTCCTGCGAATTATAAAACCTGATTTTCTTCCCCTACATAATTTCCTTCTCTTTCGTGTAAAGCCGTGTGTGCTTTGATCATATCAATTTCATTCTTGTTTTGGACGCTCCAGTCGCTATTCAGTTTGAATTAGCTGCCAGGAAAAAAAAAGGGGGGGGGCGTAGGAAAATAGAGAAAGCATAAAAGGAAAATTAGATTTTTTTTGTCTTTGAGGCTGGTGACACATACAAGGACAGGTCCTTTGCAATTACCGCGGGCAATGATCCTTTAGAAAGCAGAAATTAAAAGTTGGGAGAAATAATGGGTAAAACAATCAGCTTGTAATTTTGGTAGGGCTTGGACATGATTAGTCCATCAGCGGGCTGGGCCCAGGGGAGTCCCGCTGAGCCGGAGCCCACAACAGCCCCCGCTCATATATTATACACCAGCCCTTAGATTTTAATCAGACACCACAACAGTGTCCTTTCTCTTTTATGACTTTATTATGCTTTATCTTTAAATTATAAATCACCTCCTGGGTTGAAATGGTATGTATAATCTCTGATCATGTGTAGGTAATTACCTCTCCCCCTTGTCCTGACCTCACCGACGGGGCTGCCACGAACACACAGCGAGAGCGAAGTTTTAATCTGCGTGTGCACACACTCACACGAACCCACACGCAGGGGTTTGTTGATTTGTTTGTTTGCTAACAGCTCCTCTTTCCCTTCTCCTCCGGCCATGTCTCTGATCCCATCCTTTTTTTTTTTTTTTTGAATATTTTTTCCTTCCATTACTTCTGCCCACAGCGCTGGGATACTATTTATGAAAAGTAGATGGTGGTTTAGGTAGGTGCCGGTGACTCGGCTGTATCGGATTCGCCTGCATTTGTACCTTTTTTTTTTTTCGGTGAGAGTGCAGTTTATTTGGGGGTGACGGTGGTAG